CTATTTAGTGTGCATATCATTCTGTGATCCAAGTTTTGAACGACCATGACATGCAGGAGGGCAAATTAAAGTAAAACTACCTTCACAAAATATATGCACTAAAAGTTTTCAAATGAACGAGGGAGCAGTCATAAATTCTAAAAAGAATGAGAGAAGTTTAATCTTTCAATTATCAGAAAGAAAGTTTATCTGCAAAATAATTCTTCTGTCGTTAATCAGTTCTCCTTCTCAACATTTAATTTTAACAAAGAATTCTAAAATCAGTTGATAATATATAGGACAGTTCAAATTTTTAATTTAGATGCGGTTCTTTAATAAAAATCAAGTGCGATGATCAGGAATATCTCACTACGAAAATTACTCCACGAACCGGCTGTACGTCGCTTCTTTTTATGGCTTCTACTTTGCCACACCAACTCAGTATTCTCTCTAGCACGACTGGTTCTGTAAGAACGTTAAAATAATTATCCAGGCAGGCATTTGATTAAAAGAGTGAAAATGTCGTTTTTCACTTTGGTTTCCAGTTAACGTTTGGGCTGTAAGAAATTCAAGAACATTGTAACAAGAGCGCGACATAAAATGTAAACAACCTTGAACGATTGCATGGATTTTTGTTCATTTATGCAATACCATGCATTGTTTCAATACATTTTTTTTTTCTAACCTAATATAATCGGAGCCTAATCAAATGTTGAACAACCAAATACCAACCTGAGTTTTCGGTATCTAATTGGACTCTCAATTAATCATGTGAAAGGCATTTAAGACTGATATTCTAGGAGAGTACTGTACTGCGAGAACACCATGCATTCGCCATAACCATCCGTTTCTCTGAAGTGGAATTTACCCACATCAAAGTAACGATAATATTAACATTGAAGATTGTATTTCAACGCTTAACATTTTAGCTCAAGAATTATAAGGAAAGTGTTTTTTTCTTCGTTTTCCCGAATTTTCTTGATAAAACTTTTTTCTGTGAACTGCGGCGCAACTTAATAGCCAGCCGAGTCTCGCCTTAGGGGCCCACCCCACTATCACAGGCTAAAAAAATAGCATTCTAAGGCTCCAGCTCGTTTCAAAACTGTTAAGTTTTTGTGACATAAAACACACGATAGAAGACAAAGGCCCTGTGTTTTATTATTCGCGAAAAAGTACAACACAATTTTCTCAATTTGGTTTGGGGCTCCGAAATTCTTCCAACCGGTTTAGTTTCACTGTTATCATGCCCCGACTGTTCGACAAAAAAATGCGATATGAAGAAACCTTGTCGACTTTTGCGTAAGAAAACCTGGCCCAGTATGCTGGTAATCTTTTTTGCACTCTTGAAATTGAATAAAAATACAGTCAACTAATAATTTGAAAAACACACTTACCTCTCTCAGTTTTTCGATAATGCAAGCGAGAGTTTTATCGTTATAATTGTAAAGTAGCCAGCTTGCTGTGTTGATTGAACGCTGCTTGTCAGCCTTAATGAAAATAAGGAGATGCGAAAACAACATGAAAGAAATCTTGCTGATTTTCAATAGCGATTGTGCTTTAAATGCAGATTTAAAACTGCACATCAAAATTAAATAGCATTGCACATTGAAACTTACATAAGGTATGTGAAACAACCTTAAATACATAACAAAAAAACTTCAAATATTCCTTTCCTTGCAATCTAGTATAATTATCTTTTTATCTTCATTTCCTTTTTAAGCTCTGACCAGTTAATTTGAGTTATGAAGAAAAATCATTGAGATGCCAATAATTTTACATCCGAAAAGAACGTTTTGCTTGGTTCGGCTGTTTTCTTCCTTATTTTAATTTTTTTTCTGGTGGAGGTGTATGGTTTACTCATTCTTGTTTGGGGTTTACTGTAGTTATGCTGTGTAGCACATTAAATTGTTGTGGGTTGAAAAGCTTAATATCAGCACTTACTTAAAAATGTATGAGCAATATTATGTTTCATTTTGAAATACCAGTCAACAACAGGTGAGCTGTTTCAAACTAAAACCATCTATTGATTTTAAAAATAGAGAAAAACGCATTCATTTGGAGAGGGGTTTTGGAACGATGTTTACTTACCTTTTTTCAAGTAAAGATGGGGATCTAGGCCTGATGTCATAATCATAATCATTACTACCAAATCGGATTGCAAATAAATGTTTTCGCTCCCGCGAATTCTACACGAATGTACAAGGTGTGTCTGTACCGACTGACATAGCTGTCAGGCATTAATTAAAAAACATGGAGTCAGCAGTACATGCAGTCAAACCTGGGGAAAAAACTGGGGAACCATCGACAGTGTCTGTATAATTAACAGGATATCCGCGTATTGTTGAACAGGACCGGGTTGTTCAAAGCCGGGATAAACTAACCCAGGGTTTATAATGCGAAATTTGAATTCAGCTACAAAGCTTAAAAAGCAAATTCAGCTTAATTCTTTTTGTGTACAGTTTAAAGATTGGATGCTCTCAAGAGAATGGAGAAAATTATCCGAGAAAATGTTTTTCAGCAAAAGAAAAAGAAACTTGAATTAAAATTTAACCCGGGTTAGTGCTAATCAGCCTTCGAACAACTGGGCCCAGAATATTAAATGCTAAAAAAGAAATAGAACAGGGCGTAAGAATCGTAAATTTACACATCACTAACCTTCGCAGAATCGTGCATTTAGCGGACTATGCTCATGGAAACAATTGCCAAGTCGCTAATTCATACCTTACTAAATCAAAAAATTAATATCTTTTTCATAGAATTAATTGCACGCTAGTAATTATCAAACTGAGCTTTACAGAACCTTACTTATATCGATCCCTTGGTCAGCGCTTTGTTGAAGTTATGGTCCGATCCACGGTCTGGTCCACGGCGAGGTCCGGTACAAAGGTATGACGTCATATTACAAGATGATTCAGTTTTAATAGCTGCCATCTTGGATTTCAATTTTGGTCGGGCTAAGGGGAGAAGGGAAAGCCGTCTCGACTTATGTCTCATACTTACTGACCAAATTTGGCGAAAATGATATCGATGATAACGATAACAGTAATCATAATTATAATCCAGGAGCCAGACTCCTGTTATAATCATCATCATGAAAAAATAAGAAAAAAAATTAGCAAAAATATTAATAATAATATAGGAAATAATCAAGACAATGTCACAAATTGAATGCCATACATTCGAGGCGGGGTTTCGCCCCGGAGTTTGTCCTTTTAATTAAAGCCAGTTTACGCTCTCCACTAGTATTCAAACAGTACACCTGCTGCGATATAATTTTTGCAAGCAGATTTATTTTAGGTTTCGTAGGGTAGCGGTCATTAGGGCCTTGTTTTAAAGACATCATGATCCTGCTTTAGATACGTATTTTGATTAAAAATTTTAATGTATTGTTTTGCAGACCATAAGCTTCTTCGCTTTAAAGACCATCATGAATAAAGTTGATCTATTCATTTTTCTTTGCAACAACCATCTAACATCAATAATCAATTTGTCAAATGAAACGTAACCAGCAGGAATCAGCAAGGCTAGTTAATTTTTCAAGTTTTAATTATTCATTGTCTGTTACGGTGCTTTACTAAAATTGTATGGATATAAGTTAATAGCGTTTTTTTTTTCGACAATTGCAGTGAAATATCACCGAACCGGCAAAGATCTCATCATTGATCAGACGGGCATCATGGCAACTTTGAAAAGTGACCTTACAGGAATAGTTATCTTTTTATCTCTATTCCTAAAGGAACGGTGCGAGGGTTTACTAGGTAAGAGCAAGAAAATTATTTTATACACTATTCGTAGCTTTTCCAACAGCTATTTTCCAATAACGTCTCGTTCAAAATATCTTTAAGTCTAATTACTGGTTGATGGTTTGACTCTATCGAACCTTGAAAAACAATCTGCACTTTTAGTGAAGATCTTTAACACTTTCTCATCGTTGTGAGATGCAGCGCCTGAAGACAATGAAGAGCTGACGGAGTACGATGGTGTTAATGATTGCGTAATGTACGTAACGTTAGTTATACGAGATGTAAAGCAGAAAATGGGAGAGGAATTTAAAGCAGGAACTAGTTTATCAGCGGTCAATGCAACCGCATGCAATTGCAATTTTCAGAGATAAATTTTATGATTTTACTCCTAAAAATGTAATCTTCGCCTTACATCGAGAGCCTGTCACAGCCTAAGAGAGGATTCTCCCGATCTCTTGATCAGCCGGCTTTATCAATGTTTGTCCACCGAGAGTAGGGGTATTTCATTTGTGATTCTATCACGTCATCATCATCCCCATCTACGTTTACGAAGCTCAAATAAAATCAAGCTAAGAGATAAGCAGAAAAGCGCCTATACTATTTGAAACACTAAGACCAAAACAGTTTTCTAAAACTTGTTTCGAAGTCACTTGTTTATATTTTCAGCAAAGGGCACTAATGGAAGTGTAAACACTAACAGTTTAAAGGAGATACCACAAATTTCACGGGCAAAAAAGACCTTGAATTTATTCCGGAAAAAAAAAAGACACTTTTGGTTGTTTTACAATGATCTTTTCATCATCGTTCACCACAATTATTATTATCTTATTTTATTACCAGTGTATTACTATCTTTTATTTAAGTTTGTTTGTTTCTTCTTGCAAACAGTTAACAGGTAGATTTTTAATTCGATTCGCTAAAAGGCAACAAGGCTTTGAAAGGCGGCAACAATCCTGGCTTATGTCTGCTTCTGATTAGCCAGCATATTTAAGACGAACAACAGCAATTATATTACTTTTAATTAAAATTTCCTTTAATTGGCAATGTTTTCTTCTTTCTTCCTTTAACATATTAATTGAAAGAAACAGATCTTTTCAACTCCAGTTTGTTTATATCAGGTGATCCTTGTAATTTAGAAGGCGAATAAGGCAAAAGAATAACTGGACAATTAAATATCATAAACATACACTTTGAAATACGCTTGGCCAATATGAAATTGGTTTTTATTTAAAAAAATCAGCGTTACAATACAAATTGATTTCAGAGGATTGTCGAGTGATGCACTTCAAACTCCCAGTACCGAACAGAATTCTGGTAAATCACGTGATTCAAAGTGCCCAGGTGAAATCAGAGATTGAGTGTGAGACAAACTGTTTCGCTCACGATGACTGCATGTCTGTGAACCTCGCACCATTACAGGATGGGAACTATTTGTGTGAGTTGAGCAATTCAGATCACGATATACATCCTGAAGACTTCAAACAAATGAACAGAGCCTTATTCAAACCGGTGAAGGTAAGCCTTGTTTGGTCACTTCCCAAACTAAATGTTTGCGTTAAAGCAGGTTTCTTCATTTTGATGAACACAAGGCACGGCGGATTGCTTAAAACGTTCCTCTAGATTATTGTGTTGTAGGTCTTATTTACCGAGAAAATTGGAGCTAAATGTTTAGGTGCTACTCCTTAGGCGTTCTTGCTTGCGTGATGGTTACGTCAGATCTGATACGCATGCGCCTTCATCTCGTTAATAGGCTGATTTAGCAACAGGATGGGAACGTCAGTTGACGACGGAAAAGCGCTCGGAAAGGACTAAACACGACTTCCGGTGCCCAATTTGCCACTCTGCCATTGGTCAAGCCAGTTGTTTGATTTGCGCGCGCCGTCGTCAACTGACGTTCCCGTACTTTTGCTAAATCAGCCTAATGGTACCAGAATGAAACTTTATGTCTGAACTAGAATTTCAGTAGGATTGAGAAGCGGAATGAATTCATTCCGTAATGACTTGTACAGGAACGAGCTTTGTCTCGATACCATTTAAACAGATATTGAGAAGTATATGGAAATGTCATGAACTCGTTCTAGAATTAAAGTCTTTTCAGTAACATGTGAATAGCCTCTGATTCATCAGTGGTTTGTCCAGATGTTTAATTTGCCTTCCCATGATTCGGACATGTTTTGAAAAAGTTATTATTTTCAATGGGTACTACCGGTGGGAAGGGTCTCTCCTACTTCATAGCTGTGACCGGCGCTAGTTAATCTTTTTTCCTTGAGTCTGGGGAATGCCCTTCAAGCAGGTTATTTTTGCTAGGACGACTTTTAGTTTCCTTTCTGTATTGATTTCAACACAGAACCTTTGTTCGAGCAATTCATGCCCTCAGGGACACCGATGTCAAACAGGTTTTACTGATAAAGGGTACCGTTGCGTCACTACAAATAAAACTTCTGGAGAAACTGGAAACATCCCTGTGGATAGCGATGATGAAGATGATCATGACAACGATGATGAAGGTGATGATGACTATGATGATCATGATGATACTGGTGATAATGATGACGATGATGGTTATGATAACGCTGATGATGAATATGATCATCATCATCATCATCATCGTCATCGTCATCATCATCATCATGGCAGTGGCAATGATGATGATGTTAATGATTATGATTATGAATAAAAGTGGTACTCGTGATGATCATGTCGAATGAAGTTGGCTGGTGATGGCTTAGCTTAATTTCTTCCAAGCAAATTACTTTACGTTAATTTTCTTCTGCCCGCCTCGATTAGCCAAGCTATTTGCGAGCAGAGGATGTTTGTGTGTACATGTATATTTTAATTTCATTTCATTTGTAACTTCTATGAAGATCAAACATCTTGGTGATTATGATGATGATAGTGATGATGATGACACTGCATGATAAGCATTACACTTCGACGCTGAATAAATTTCGTTTTATAAGTCAAATTCATCGATTAATTTTTAAACCTTCGACTTCTCTCGTTGAATTTCTAATTTTTCTTTTGTTCAATTGCTTTTAATTCAGATTCCGATGAATGCCTGACTGATCAAGATAACTGTCATCCCAATGCGGATTGTATTAACACCCAAGGTTCATTCATTTGTTCTTGTAAGGATGGATATCTGGGTGACGGGCAAGAGTGTGTTGGTAAGACAAAATTCTGACGACATTGAATTAAATGCACGCGAAATAATAGCAGATAACATCAGATAATGAATAGAGTGTGAAAGAAAGAAAAATGAAAAGAAAAGATGACAAAGCAAGGAGGGACTGAGAGACTACTTTAATCTATGCGGCAAAAACTGCAGCCCATTCACGACCATGGCCGGTTACCCTAGGGTGTGGCTCAAAGCCTCTCTATTAGAGCTTAGCGTAATCTAAGATTTTCGAAGTAATAAATCAGGCATGAGACGCAGTGTTTCATCACCAGATGAAACACCTAGAAGAGAGTTGAAAATTCCACGCGCAGCGGAGTATTTTTGACGAATTTCGGGGTGTTTCATCTAGAGATGAAACACTGTGTCGAATGCTTGATATTACGTCTCAAACAAACTGTTTTTAGCAGGAGAAATTAAGGATCCAAAAATGAGCAGTTTTTCACGTGATTTCTAGACACTCATTAAACATTAATTTCCTTTGTATTTTCTTTGTGAATTATTAATGAGTTTCAGTAAGAAGATGGAGTGCTACATGGTAAGCGTTTTTCGTAAACGATTTGGGCTCAAAAAACGTGGTGGAAAAGTTCAAGTGCAGAATAAATAAAGCTAACCTGTTAGTTTTAATAATAACTGCATATTTATTTTATTTTCTCAATCAATGATAGTTTCTACAACGTTTTCGTCTTCATCTTATGCCGTGTTTGACAAAAAAAGGAATTGGAGTGACGCTTTGTCCTTCTGTCAGCGCTTTGGTGCCGATTTGGTGAAGATTGAATCCCAGGGAGAAACTGAGTTTATTAACGCGACCTGGCTCTTGTCTCTGGGGAAGATGTGGATTGGACTAAATGACTTGGAGGTCGAAGGTGTTTGGAAGTGGTCGGACAACACTAGCTTAGGCGTGTACTCTAACTGGGGATATCGTAAACCAAGCAACTGGAAAAACCAGCATTGTGTAGTTTTAGTCCGCGGATTCATGGGAAAAGACTTCTTTGATGCCCAATGGAATGACGTGCGTTGTGAGAGAACTTTGTTTTACCTTTGTAAGAAGAAATCGTAGTTTAACCTCCCTCTGCGAAAATGCACCTCTTATTTATAAGTGACCAGTAAGAACACGTCGATCTTTCCAGTCAAAGCACCGTGATTAGAACGTTACCCCTTGACCTTTGGTCAGCGACCGCCAAGGTCGAGGCCAGGGTCGGGGCCTATCTTTTTTTTTAAAGAATGCTTTTTTAAGGTTAGGGGATAGGCTTACTGTCAACCCTCAACCCTAACTAACCCTAACCCTAAAAACAAGAAAGACCCCGATCCCGCGTTTTACTGACACCCGTTTCTATGGCTGTCGAGTCGTCGGTTGGATATACATGTTCTTTCTTTACGTTACTTAATTTTCTTACAGCAATCCGTTTTCACCCAGAAAAGCCTAGCACTGGCGGCCACAGTGCCCCGTAGAGCTTGTCAGCATGCTAAGAAAAGCCCTTTTGTATGCATAGTAGGCTACAGTAGCTGTGTATTTAGCAAGAACAAACATTATACGTTGATCATTAATAGTTCCTTTGTTAATGTTTTTGTAGTCGCCCATGGTCCAGATTTCTTGTTGATAATCCACTGGAAAGCGGCAATAATGCCAGTTTTTTTTTACTTACCTGATTAATACTCAGATTATTTGAAAGGCAAACACTAGCAGGTTAAGATAATGTACAAAATTAATACAAACACAGTCTGCAATAATTAAGCATGACACAGTAATGCTCCTGGAAACATTCAAGATCTCGTTCAAGATATTTCTGATATTCATTCTTATAATACTCGATCCTCTGCCTCTAATAACTTTTACACCCAAAGTTCCAGACTCTCAATGATTCAAGTGAATTCATTTTCTAGAATCGGAACAAAAATTTGGAATGAAATGCCTGTATCTTTAAGAAAACTTTCAAAAAATGCCTTTAAGAGGAAAATAAAACAAACACTTTTTGAGATCCTAGCTTCAGAAGACTGTTTTATTGATCTCCCAGAAATCGTTCAGAAAGTTAAGTTGAATTTATTTCCCTCTTAGTTAGTATGTAATCATTAATATCGTTTAGTGTATCAGTAGTCTCTTGTCATAACTGTTGTCATTTATTATTAGTAATACCGTTAGTTTATCAGTAGCCTCTAGTCATTGTTGTCAATTTTAGTCTCTTTGGTTCTCTCGTTACTAGTTGTATTTATTTCCTGACCAATAACGATAAGATTTACGGGTCTTGAATCGCTCCTTAACGTTGTTGTCATTTTGTTTAATTTTGCCAAATATTATGGAAAAAAGTAAGCAAAGAAATTACAGGAAGTTGACAAAATCAGAGATCCGAGTCAAACAAATACGTCATGTTGCAAGCAGCAGGGATTGTCTTTGAAAAACTTTTAGCTGAACAATTTTCAAAAACTTTAATTTCAAGTTTCAATCTTCTTCAGTTTTACTATCTGTTGTTTTGTTATTTATTTTAACTGACCAATAATTTTTAAGTTTCTCTTAATTTAACGGGCATTTTGTAATTTGAGAATTTCGATCCTTCCATACGTTAATCTTTGCCTGATTGTCGCTCGTTTTTAAATCTACACCGCATGCAGCTAAAGAAAGCGAACCATGTAGTTTCTTAGCCTTTAAAGATTTTCTGAAATACAAATTATCTATAGAAACTTTAAGCGTCCGTGAATCCCTGAACCTTTATTCGCAAACAAGCTTGACTTGTTTAGTTATTTTTGTTATTTGGTAATTTTCAATTTTACCTATCTAACTATTTAATTCTTTTTTTGTAATTAACAATTGCAACATCCTCAGATGATAGCAGTTGTATATATCTTGTCTGTTCCTTTTATTTTAGTTTTGTAACGTCGTTCTTTGTTTGTTAATATTGTATATTGTATTGTACTTATCAACAAACTTGAATAAAAAAAGAGTTGTATTTACTTCCTGTAAAGTAATGATCCGCCTAGATTGGCTTAGCTACCCGCAGGCATGTTATAATAGAGTACTAAAGTGTGACGTCATAAAAATGAAATTTCTGAAATTATGGGATTTGTCAGGATATTCTGAAAGAACAATGTCCAAGAGGCCTTCTTGCCAAAAATGAGCATTTCTGGGCAAATTGTCTCTGACATCGTTGCTTAGTTATGCTTAGAAAACTCCATACAAACCCTTCTAAATTTTTTTGGGGTCGACCCAAAAAAAAGTAATAATAGAAAGTACGTAATAAAGACAATGTTACATGCATGCTACATTCGAGGCGTAGTATGGTCTCGAAGTTTATCCTTTTCAATTAAAGCCCGTTTACGCCGTCCAATATTCAAACAGTACACCTGTTAGGAAATGATTTGTGCAAGCTGATTTATTATAGCTATGGTAGGGTAGCGGTCTTAAGGACTTTGTTTTAAAGGACATTAAGATCCTGTTTTGATTAAAAACTTTCATGTATTGATTTGCAGACCATAAGCATCTTTGCTTTAAACACGAATCATGAATAAATAAAGGTATACTTATTCATTTTTCCATGCAACAACCATCCAACATCAATCATCAATTTGTCAATTGAAACGTAACAGCAGGAATCAGCAAGGCTAATTAATTTTTCAGGTTTTAATTATTGTCTGTTAAGATGCTCTACTAAAATTGTAATGATAAGTCAATAGCTGTTTTACGACAGTTGGTTACGATGAAATAACACCGAAACAGCAAAGATCTCATCAGACACCACCATGGCGACTTTGAAAAGTGACTTTACAGGAATACTTATCTTTTTATCTCTATTCCTTTTGGAACGGTGCGAGGGTTCACTTGGTAAGAGCAAGAAAATTATTTTTTAAATACACTGTATATATGTAGCTTTTCCAACAGCTATTTTCCAATAAAGTCTTGTTCACAAAATATCATTAAATCTAAATGCTAGTTGTTGGTTTGACTGCATCGAACCTTAGAGAATAATCTGCACTTTAGATGAACATCTTCAAACACTTTCTCATCGTTGTGAGACGCAGGACCTGAAAACAATAATGAAGGAGCCGAAGGAGTACATGGTGGTAATGATAACGTATTGAACGTAATGTTAATGATTACGAAATGTGAAGCAAAAAATAGCTAAAAATGGGAGAAGAATTTAAAGCAAGAACCACTATTTATAGTCTATCAGAGGTCAACGCAACCACATGCACGTTTTAGAGATAAACTTTATGATTTCACTCGCGACGTAAAAAATGTAATGTTCGCCTCTCATCAAGAGACTGTTACAGCCCAAGTGAGGATTCTCCCGATCTCTTGATCAGACAGCTTTATCAGTGTTCGTCCACCGAGAGCACGGGTATTTCACTTATGATTCTCATCACGTCATCATTACCCCTCCTCCCCAGTCCACGTTTACTAAGCACAAATAAAATCAACCTTAGAGATAAACACAAAAGCGCTTACACATTTTGCAACACTAAGACAAAAACAGTTTTCTAAAAATTATATATATTTTCAGCATAGGGCATTAAATAAATGTAAGTGTAAACACGAAGAGTCTTAAGCTAAAAGAGATACTACAAATTTCAGTCACAAAAACCTTTAATCCTCAAAAAAATAAAAAAGAAAGAAATGATACTTTCAAAAAGTTTGGTTGTTCAGTACTATGATCTTTTCATCATCGTTCATCATAATAATTCTTATCTTTTTTTAATTTTTTATCTATGTTCAGTTAGCAGTGGCGGAACCAGGGGAGGGGCCCGGGGGGCCTGCCCCCCTGCCTTATTTTTAGACCAAACTGAGGCCCGAAGTGCCGAGAAAATTTTTTGTGACCGGGCCCCTCACTTATCTCAAGTTCTGGATCAGGCACTGATTAGTTTCTTCTAGTAAACCGTTAACACGCAGATTTTTAATTCGATTCGCTAAAAAGCAACAAGTGGCAACAATCCTGGCTTATTTCTGCTTCTGATTAGCCAGTATATATAAGAAGAACAACAGCAATTATATTACTTTTAATAATTAATACTTCCTTTAATTGTTATTGTTTTTCTACTTTCTTCCTACAACAAATTAGGATACAGATTTATCCAATTCCAGTTTGTTTATATCAGGTGATACTTATTATTTTAGAAGGCGAATAACGGCAAAGAAAAACTGGACAATTAAATATTATAAACATACACTTTGAAATACGTTTGACCAATATGAAATTGGTTTATTTTATTATCAGCGTTACAAGACAAATTGATTTCAGAGGATTGTCGAGTGATGCACTTCAAACTCCCAGTACCGAACAGAATTCTGGTAAATCACGTGATACAAAGTGCCCAGGTGAAATCAGAGATTGAGTGTGAGACAAACTGTTTCGCTCACGATGACTGCATGTCTGTGAACCTCGCACCATTACAGGATGGAAACTATTTGTGTGAGTTGAGCAATTCAGATCACGATATACATCCTGAAGACTTCAAACAAATGGATAGAACCTTATTCAAACCGGTGAAGGTAAGTCTGGTCACTTCCCAAATTAAATGTTTGCTTTAATTAGCAGGTTTCTTTTGTGAACACAAGGTTCGGCGGATTGCTTAAACCGCTCGTCTAGATCTGTTTATCTTTCGAAGAAGTTTTGTTTTGTAGGTTTTATTTACCGAGAAAATTGTACCTAAATATTTAGGTGCTACTCCTTAGGCGTTCTTGCTCGCGTGATGGATGCGTCAGATCTGATACGCATGCGCCCCTCGCCCTGACTATGCGGTTTGTGATCTTCATCTCGTTCATGATACCAGAATTAAACTTTATGCCTGAACTAGAATTTTAGAGGATTGAAAAGCGGAATGAATTTATTCATTTGTCTTTCACAGGAACGAGTTTTATCTCGATACCATTTAAACGGATATAGAAAAGTATATGGAGATGACATGCGAAGTCTTTTCGGTAACATGTGAAGACTCCGCCTCTGAGACATCAGTGGTTTGTCCAAATGATTAATTCGCCTTCCCATGATTCGGAAATTTTTTGACAAAGTTATTATTTTTAATGGGTATTACCGGAGGGAACGGTTTCTCCTCCTTCATAGTTTTTTCCTTGAGTCATAGGAATGCCCTTAAAGCAGGTTATATTTTTTAGGACGACTTTTAGTTTCCTTCCTGTATTGATTTCAACACAGAACCTTTGTTCAAGGAACTCATGCCCTATAAGAGACCGATGTCAAACAGGTTTTACTGATAAAGGGTACCGTTGCGTGGCTACAAATAAAACTTCTGGAGAAACTGGAAACATCCCTGTGGAAAGTGATGATGAAGGTGACCATGACAACGATGATGATGATGATGATGATGAAGTTGGCGATGATGACGATGACGATGATGATCATTAGTCTGATGGTGGACTTTCGACCCTGTTTTCGTTGACACTGCGACTTGAAAGGATCTTCGCTTCAGTGAATAAAACAAGTCTCAGACCCAACTTTTAAATATTAAAAAATCCAAGATTAAAGCCACAAATATTTGAGAAACAACCACTATGACGGAAGGTACACGGTTTCTCTCCAATGACGAGAATGAAGCGGGCAGCTTGGGCCACTTTGAATGCTGCGTTGTGATTGGTTCGGTACAGTCCGGTACGGAAACAGTCTCATTAAAGCAAATATAGCCAATCAGAGAGCCGCTTTGGAACGGTGCTGGTCAACTGACTTGAAAATGTGGACTTCAGGACCACGCTGTTGAGTCTGAGACCTTCAGTTGACTTAGAGACTTACGGCAAAGTGGACTTGGAGACCCTTTTGTGGACTCTTCGACTTTTTGGATTGTAAGAAAACCTATCCTTATCTTTGTGAGAAGAAATCAGAGTCCAGCCTCCCTTTGCGAAAATACATCTCCTATTCGCGACCCATAAGAACACTAGCCAATCTGTCCAGTCAAAGAACCGTAGTCCGAAACACTTGCAAAGCAGCACACTCCGAATCAGCTACCACTTTGGGGGTGGTAGTTTACCACTGCTTTAAAATTATAGCAAATATTTGATCACCCAGTGCAAACTGGACATAGGACGCTACACAATATAAGTTGAAATGCTATGTCCTTAACCTTACAAAACTATGCAAGTGCTGTGCATTCATTACTGCTATTATGGTAGTAAAGAAAGGTGAGCGATTATCACTTTTTTGCCCTTAGCTTATCACTTTTTCACAGATACAATGTACTGTTAGCGAGTAGCTAAGCTTGGGTAACACTAAGAGAATCGCATAAATCAATTAATTATGTCATAACGCTGTGGAGACTTTAAGTTAGTGAAATGCCTTACTCTACGAACTCGCCGAAACTTGCTACCCAAGCCGTTGTGGTAGTGTGTGATTGCTCATGCCGTTTCAGGTGTCCCAAATGTTTGTAATGCTTGCCACAATGGCTACAATCAAAATGAAACTCTTTGATATGTATTCTTTTGTGTCTCATTAGATGCCCTGAATGATTAAAAGACCTCCCGCATTGGTCACATTCAAAAGGTCTCTCGCCAGTGTGAATTCTCATATGTCGCGACAAAGTGCTTCCACCACGATTAAAACTCTTGCCGCAGACATTGCATTGATAAGGCCTGTCGCCTGTGTGAATTCTCTCATGGTCCTTAAGTTGATTTGACTGCATAAACGTTTTGTGGCACTGTTTACATTGAAATGGCTTTTCTCCGGTGTGTAGTCTTGCATGTGAGATCAGGTGCCCTGTGTTACCGAAGTACTTGTCACAATATTTGCACTTGTAAGGTTTTGCACCAGTATGAGTTCTAATGTGTCTCTTCAAACTTTCCCACTGTCTGAACGTCTTATCGCACTGGTTACACTCATAAGGTCTCTCTCCTGAGTGAGTTCTTTCGTGACTCTTCATATTGTGCTTATATAGAAATTTCTTGCCACAGACGTTGCATTTAAAAGGTTTTACTCCAGTGTGGATTTTCTCATGCACTTTTAAAGTCCGTCGATGCGAGAAATACCCACCACACTCGTTGCACTTAAAAGGTTTTTCAGCTTCGTTAGTTGTTACGACTTGCTTCGGTTTATCAGCCATCTGTTTACTTGCAACACTACAATCTACGTCAATAACCAGCTTGCCCTCTAGAAGAAAGCAAAAGAGAGATAGTTGTTAGTGGTATCTGATGTAATTTCTTCACCTACAAATCATCGTAAAGCAGCACTCATTCGTTCCAAATCGAAGTTGGAATTGTTAGATTTTTAGAAAAAAAAGTGCTGCAAGAAAACCCTATTAAAGCAAGACAGGAAGCCAACAACACACTCAGAACACATATGGCATCAAATCCAGGACACATTAGCGATCTTAAGCAACGAGAACGTTGACGTCCGAGCTTAAAAAAATGACAAGCGGAAGTTGATCGTTTCCCTTTTTGCAGTGGTGTACTCAATAAAGCCATACTACAGGAGTAAAAACAAAAACTTTACAACTTGCTGTGTTAGAAAAAGAGCATTACATCATGTGAAAAACAAAATTTCTGGTTCCTGTTTAAGACTTCCTGGGTGTCAGCGATCACTTTGCTCAAGCTCGCCGGGTTAAAGACCGCAGAGGGGATAGGTGAGTACTCAAATCCCTGCATCACCTTTACTTCCCAAATGTCAGAACGATTTGACCATGGACATTTTTCAAACAAAATCCTAAAGGGCAGTAGGCTGACGAGAAAAGTTGCGAATCCGTGTATGTATTGGCCAGAGAGGATTATATAGCATTGAGCTTTCTGAAATGCCTGTTACGCACCATTTAAAGTTAGCCCGCACCATTTCCTATTTTGAACTGAAAATACTACAAAGCAAAACAATCAATCTACCCACAAGAGGATTATATAGCATTGAGCTTTCTGAAATTTTAGTATCGTCACGCAACGCCCCTCGTGGGGAGGAGCACCATTACTACAAAGCAAAACAATCAGTCTACCCACAAAATGGGGTGTGTTGTGAGAGTTCAGATTTCTTCATCATTGTTCATATACTGTTGGTGTCGTATGACACAACCGTAAACTCGAACTGGTTAGCCTAGAGTTTATAAACAGTCATGTGTTTTTCAGGGTAATTTTTCAAGGCATTGACATCAAAATTTGCCCATGGGCCAAGGATGTGGATACAATACAATGCAATGCAATACATACTGGTTTATTAGGAAAATACAATTACAATTACACAGTAGCTTTGTAATGGTGTGTATCTCTAAAGTTAACCTAACAGCAAACTTGCAGGTCACTTTTGTCGTATGTCACACTTGAGGTCACACAAAAAAATAATGTTGCAGGTAAATTATGTTCGATCAGGTAAAACTAGTATTCAAACTAGTGTGACCAAGAATTTCCTTTGTTTTCTGGCCCTGGTTATCCACAGGAGATAAAGAAAATTCTGGTTTTAACCTTAGATGAAACTTGATGAACACATGTCATGTAAGCCAACCAGTGAATGTCTGACATGTCTGCTTCAATAAAACATTGTAACAATGAAGTACACAGCACATGAGCAAATGCCCACTCTGGCACAGTTGCACTATTGCGGGTAATGCGTGGTCATGGGCACCAAAACACCTGACAATAGCCTAATGGATCCCATATGGAACGATTTAAGAGATTTGGTACTGATTATGCCAATATTTGGAATTTTTCCAGAAAGGTGGAATAATTTATAAGACCAGGGAGGGTTACTGCTGTAATAAAGGAAATAATTAATTTAATTATTAATTTATTGTAACCAGCTACAGAACTTTGGGAAATAAAATGTAAAAGAACTTCTTATCTTTGCCAAATCACAAAAGATGATTGTCACATTTTATAGCCTCAAGGTTCACCACATACAGTCTGTACAGTAAATACCGGGGTTTCATGTTATTCTTGGATAGGTTTTATTTTCCCTTGCTTCAGACTCATTATCACGCATTATAATAACCACAACCAAAGAAAAAGAAAGTAAAATTTGAACCAAGAGTAAAAGAAATTGAAGCACCATAATAATTATTTCTGCTTATACCTTTATGAGGTAAGACAACCCTACTTTAATCTCTTACTAATGTACATGTATTTAGCACGAAAGTTCTAGTAATACAATACGTAATTATTAATGTAAATTTTACAAGGAGATTGTTTTTACTTTTAGTCTCCTACTGGAAACAGAACTGACAATCATTTCTGTCTGGTTCTATTGTGTCATGCAAAGGTTTATATTTATATTTACTGTATTTATATTTTACGGTGTTTTCCCTATTAAATTTCAGCTCAGCAGATAAGGGACCATTCATGGCCAGTAGGGCAAAAAATATGCGCCAGAGGTGCACTTTCCTAGGGAGAGGGGGGTAGTGGAGTGAGGGACATGGCTTCGACCTCGCTGTGAAATTTAGGAGCTGAGTTCTCTGAAACATCTTTCACTCATTTTAAGACCTATTTTCTGCAAATTAGCCATTATTATCTTTAGACAACAATTCCAAACGTTTGATTCCAATAATTTTACTCTGTATTCAATGGTCTCTTCCCAAAATGCATGATCCATAAAAAGAAAAGCTGATTGGATCAGATAACAGCTTGCATATTTTTTAAAACAACTTATACATATATATAATCTTAGTAAACCTTAAAGTGGTTGTGGGCAGTAAGAAAAGTCGCTTTAAATGGTAAATTTTATCGGTTGCCGCCTGATAAGAAGAACACTGTATTTAATGGTAACAACTGGTAACTGTCTTACCATTTGATATTAACTGTTTGTAAGACTTACAAAACCATGATCACCAGAAATATTCCTGAAATGTTACTATCTTGCAAGAAAAAAGTGAAAAAGGCATGCAAGAGAAAACTAAAATGCAAGCAATGACAGGGTACTTCAGATGTTCAGGGATTTTGGAGTTGGGCAGTAAAAACCAAAGGTAATCAGAACAATTTTCAACCACTACATCAATTCATCCATAGTCTATCGATTGTGAGGTTATTAAAATGTTTAGGAGGTAAAAGATTCCTGCAGAGCCCCATCCATTTATTGTGCATAGATGTTTTGACACTATTCAAGTTTAAATGGTAAATTGACTAAAATTTTAGTTGTAAATGGCTCATTGAATTTAGTCCGCTTTGCCGTTCTTCATATCTGGCTCATGCCGGAAGGGAAATAAAAATTGAAGACTTGATTCAGGCGCCGAAGTACACAAGCAAATGCATACTATTTGTCCTTTTCAGCTTTAATATATATCAACATCTGAATCAATTTAATGGTAACAAGTTTACAAGTCTGTTGTCCGTGTTTGTCCAGGGCTGTCAACTCTCCCGGATAATCTGGGAGACTCCAGATTTTAAACTGTTTCTCCCAGTCTCCAGATTAGAGTCTGAAATCTCCCGGATAATCGCCGAAGTTTGCTCTTTCTTGTAGATTCGACTCTCTGATAATGAAATATCAAATATTTTGCGCTGTTTGAGCTATTTTTCTGTTAATAATGAACGTTTCCACACACACTCCGGTATGCCATTGTAAGATAAGCAATAATGTGATTGGTGGAAAGTAAACCAATTAGGTCAAATGTTACAATTAAAACAACATCTTTTCCGCGCGTTTTTTTCCAAAAAATGACGTCATGTGCCCTGCACTATGACATCATCTATCACCCAATCCCCATCAATTCTCAATATTTGAAGACGTGGAGGGTTGACACCCTTGTTTGTCGCACACAGATTCAGAAACCAGCGTATAAAGTCAATTTGGGTTGGCCTAAATTCGAATTTGATTCGTCTCATGTGATGGCATGTGAAGCAGACGTTAGGGTATTGCCAAGGGTTAGTATTGACTTTAATATGTGTCACAAGGATGGCTTTGAATAAGTTCGAGTACTGTTAATAATCACTCTAAATTCGAGATTGCTCCGAATCTCTCAATTTAAGAAAACCTTTTCTTATTTTAGGAGAAAAATTTAAACCAAATCGTAGGATAAGAACTCTTTTTTCTGTCATTTAAACAGCAGGCAGTTTGAATTTACGAGAAAAAATCTTATTCTATGATTTGTTGTAAATTTTTTTCTTAAAATAAGAAATCTCGAATTTAGAGTGAATCCTCCATGTCCTTAACTTGTGAGCTTGCAGTGCCTCACAGTCAAGGAATGTAATGAACCTTGATCACTTAGAACTATCAAATAAGCTTACGACGGCTTACTGGAAGTCTAAAAAACAAAGTCTTTACTCACCTGAAATTATAATCAAAGAGCCCAGACACTCAAGAAAATCAGCTAGACAATCACACGATCGATCAACACTCGTCTCGATTGCACCCACAGTGAAGCACTTCTACTGGTCAGCGTAAAGTTTAGCTCTCTAGGTAGGGACGTCATGTATGGACAATTATGTGTACGCTTGTATATTAAAATATTCGGTACATTATAATCGCCCATACATGACCTTCCTACCGCACCCAGTCTACCTGGATTATCCAGTCGGCGCGCGGAGGCGGTATTTACAAAGGCACACAGTAGTTGTTACAAATTTGGTAACAGGTTTTTCAAGAACAAAGTGTTAATTACAAATTACAATAAGCACCGTGCAATGATTGTTTGAAATTGTGGCAGTACTGACTGCTCGCAATTAGTTCCCCCAAATAGCGCTTGCGTTACACTAAAGATAACAATACTCTACTGACATTTTAAAGTTTTGTAATTTTTTAAAGGGTTTTAAACAGTTATCACGATTAAAGAGAAGACCGTTTACTCTGAGGAAGACAGCTTTTGTTCGAGAACGTATAATAAAAAAAAAGCAATTACAACGAAATTCGACTAGTTCAATACTGAGAGAATATTTGAATTCATGATTATATAATGAACAAAGTGATTTTAATTTCATTTCAGAGTGTTAAGCTGCATTCTTTCATTTGCAGACTTGCCAACTCCCAAAAGGCAAAAAAATGTGAGAACCTGCTGAACCTAGAACTGGAAAAAGTAGTGAGGAATGGGTAAAAAGTAGTGATATGTCCCAAGGCCAAGTGGAAGGACTTCTAGCGGGGATTATGGGTATTGGAAGTCACGTCACTTTAACGCTGGAGCTGTAAACATCACGATCGATTTTACGATTTAGGTTTTGTAATGTCTAGTTCTGCTAGCTGGCAGCCACCTTGAAACATGAGAAAAAGTAAGCCTGCGCATTTGGTGGGAGTGGCAAGCGCGTTAGGCTAAAAGAATGTAATCAAACGCGACCGCTTAAAGTTTTTCTTTGGATTGAACTGGCTATCTATCGATATCTAACTTGAACCCTACAGCTCGAACATTTTTGGAGCGTGAGATAGGTCGTGAAATCGTGAGACTCACGAAAAAGTCGTGACACTTGGGAAGTCGATTTGTGACTCTAAAAGCAAGCTTTTTCCAAAAGCAAAAGTTAAAAAGATGATTTACTTAGAAGAAATAGTGGCTTATTTTGTATTTGAATAAACGCAACAAGTACGCGAGGACAGTGAGGGGTTGACTTTTTGGCAAAGGACTATCGTTGCTGAGATACAGTGACGTGATATCGGCCTGAAACTAGGTGATTAAATTCACAACCAATCACAATTTGAATATTTTTGTCTTTTGAACAACTTGGCATTCACTACAAACACATTAGTAAGAAATTCCTTCCTGTCTAGGAATACATATTGTGAGCCTTTGACGATTTCTAGGGTAGATCTGATCAGTTGAACTAAATCACTACATGACGGCTAGCTGTATACCAAAAAGTCGTTTAAGTTAATATAAAATTCTGTTTCTGAGGAAAACAGTCAAGTTGCGTGACCTAAACAGCTAGGCTTGGTGCAGCACGGTAAGAATTTTAAGGTAAGAATCAACGCCAAGATATTTCAGACGAATTCAAAATGTATAGTTTAACAGTTCAACTACAGCTTATTACTGAGAACAATGCAATATCTGAAAACGTTTTTATTTGTTTGTGAGAAAATACGTTGAGAGATATGTTTTCACTTCCAGATAATTCTTTGAAAAGCCTTGTGTACAGTGAACCACGTTAATACTGTCGCCAAAGGGCGCAAAAAATTTGGCCGTAATAACGAGGTGACCATATTAACTTGAGAGTTTCTTTACAAGAAAATGTATGCTCGTTGTTGCTGGGCGGCCACAAAAAAGTGGCCGTAATAAGGAGTTGACCGTATCACCGAGGTGGCCGTAAGGCGGGGTTCCACTGTACATGAACATCATCTTAATTTAAGTAAACTGCTATGTACTTGCCTCGTCAGAGTACTCTACATATTATATTTAACTGAATTCTGCTTTGATGAAATGCAAATTTTTTAATCGTTAAATTGATTGACAACAAATTTAATTCTTGATTGTTATAATGTTATTGTTTAGTTGTCTTTGGATTAGTCTTTTTTCGTTGCTCTAGGCGCTATGAACAAACGAGTTCCCCTCAGCAATGATTGAAAAAAAAACATCCCGATCGCAAAACATGCGATATTTTCGGTTTCCATTTCCCAGCGTATTTTTAGAATCAGGCGCAGATCAAGGATAAATAACTAACTTTTTGATTTCCTTTAACGTTAAGCACCGTTTTACGGGTGAAACTGAACGCATCAGGCGGGGTTCAAGGATAAATGCTCGCCTTAACGAGCGCCGAAATGTTTTAGATTTTCACTTCCTAAAGTACCCTTTTCTGAGTTTCAGACAGGATATTGGCCAGTACAGAGTTCCATTCGCCGATTATTATTGTTTGATTCAAACCAGTAGTATATTCTTGGTCCGCTCGCTCTAGAGCTCTTGCAAAATACTCTCCAAATTTATTCGCTCGTATATAGTACTAAATAATTTACAAGATTTCAGCTTGGAAGGTCGTTTTATTAAAAATATATTTATTATGAAAAATCTGACCAATTTCCATAAAACGGTTGAAACCGGTGTGGATCAGCGCCGAGCATAGGTGACAAATAGATCAGAATCAAAACTGATACGGTCTGAACATCGGGCGTATGTCTCTGGACACCAACAAATAATTGATACTGGTTTCATTATCTTACACACTTACAGTATTTTCGAAAATACTCATCCGCAGAAAGATTTACACTCTTTTTCAGTTCTAATACTCCTTAATGCCGACCTCTCTCAGGCTTCTATTTCTTTATTTTTAAAACTTAACTGGATCCCCGTTTTTGATCTTATTAAATACAGGAAACTTTTTCTTCTTTTCATCGTATTCCTTAATCCGAATGCTCCTAAATGTCTCAGGAACAGATTTCAGTTTCTTTGTGATTCGCGTGGACCTGACTGGGCCGTTTTACAAGCCTCTCTCTACGACTTAAAGGTGCCATGCCCACATAACAACTCTGGGAAACGCACATTGGCCTGTAGTGCTACTAAACTTTTTACATAATGACCTCAGTTCCGACTTAAAAGAGTTTCTATTTCTTCTTCTCCACTGATATTTAAATTTCTTCCCTCCTCTCTTAAGTCTAAATTACGAAATCTGTTGCTCTCACGCCTACATATATATGTATACATGTTCATTTATCGCAAATATTTTGCCTCCCTTTGTCGATTTATATGTTATTCATTATGTGTTTATAGCCTATTCTACTTTGAATATTGTCTCTTTTGTGTATATATATATAAATTTATTTGCTTTTTGTCTTCTAAATTTATTTGTCTATTTATTTATTTTTTGAGGGCCGTAAGTTAGAAAACTGTAATAGGTTATTGCGCTTCCCTCTTTAAATAAAGTTATTGTATTATATTGTATTGTATTGTATTGCAACAATGAACATTATACATCTACAATTTAAGTATCAATCATGTAATCGATAGTCAATAACATGCAACCTTCTCACCATAGCAAGATCGCTGGGGGTGCGATCGTGCAAAGGGCGTATACGTAGTACGTAGAGACAAATAAAACTGACTTTTAAGGTATGTTACACGAGACGATTCGCAACGACGACTTTTAGCGCAACACAGCGTTGCAACATTGTTGCAACATTGTTTCGAATGGTTACAACATTGTTCCAACATTGCAACGATGTGTTGTGCTAAAAATCGTCGCTGCGAATCGTTCCGTGTAACATCACCTTTGCCTTTCTAGATTTCGATGAATTTTTTTTTTCAGGATGGGCTTATGGATAGCCAAACTCGCGGGTCATGAGAATGACGCCAAGGTTCAGCTCCGTAAACCAGATGCCGTTTTGGCTTACATCCTTGCGTTTGGTTCAGTGTTTTTTGTTCTTTTTCTCTTGCTTGTTGGTATTGTGTTAACAGCAGTCAGAATCTATAAAATATTCGTTTACAGAAAACAAAGCGAGGAAAATTTAAAGGTAAGAGCGCGGCAGCATGACGTTTCACTTCAGATAGCATTTTCATAAAGTAAGAATGTTGACTATCTTCAAAGCTTTTCATTTACGAGAATCTGAGCCACCTGAGTGTCACCTATCATAATCGCAAAATTTATAACTGTATGCTAAGCAGCCAAGCCTTTGAGTGGAAGCGAGGCTGGCGGTGATGTAGCTGTGATAGAGACTTCGCTTCCATTCATATGAATGAGGACAAGATGCACACCAAAAATGCGCATGCTCAGTGAGGTTTCTGTTTTCTTCCAGTGAAGGCCAAGTCACAATGCACAGTTGTAATGTAACTTCAACTTCATAATGTTTCAGTCAAAATTTCATGATAGTCCTTTATGTACGATGATAACGAGTGTAAATATAGATAGTATCAAGATCAAATTATGTTTGCTATTAAATCTGGCAGAGTACCCTGGACCGTCAAGTGGCGAAGAATTTCATGGAAAAAGTGCGGAAACGTTTAAGTAGTGTAGGCCAGTTTAGAGATGGCATGATCAATGCAGGGCTGGAAATGGTGGAACTTACCACTACGCCAGGACCAGGTAAAAAGTTAGCCACAGAAAACAGCCGACATTTCGCGACGTCACCACTGGTTTTGCAGCGAAATTTCGCCTGAAAAACGAGTGCAGAAATTCCATACTGATGACGCCTCCCTACCCAGATCTGGGTAGTGCCTCTGACTGGATAAATCAAAGTTTCAGCCCTCAGAAGCCCTACCCAGATCTTGGTAGTGACTTCACTCGTCGCTCTGACGTCATTTCGTGGGGAAACCAGCGGTAGCGTCGCTAAATGTTGGATGTTTTCACAGGCTAGTAAGAGGCTAGGTAGCTAGCAGGTGTTACTTCCCCACTCCCTCCCCCTTAGATGTTCACCGTTCTCGGGGCCTTCATGATCAATTTCCATCCGATCCTGCCGAATTTCTCATCCAAACTTGTAAAAGTAACTTACTATATGCACCGGCCGCCATTTTGCCATTGCTTAGTTATTTGTCCTCCAGGGCGTGATTCCGTCCATTTGAGTGACACGAAATTGGTGGGAATCTGCTATGACAAAAGAACGAGTGCAAAATGATCTATCTACCTCAGAAGTTTTTATAAAGTCGCAGAACTGCTCGATTGAGCCACTGCTCCAGTTTTTTTCAACCGTTCTCTCATAGCGCTGACCTTCCCGCCCATTTCGAGGTGTTCGCGAAATGATGGATGGTTTGATCCGGGATGGACTCAGGGAACGCTTGTAACCTAACACACTGGAAACGATGAATACGTATGTGAATTTCGTATTTATTGGAACCGTGAATGAAGAAATAAATGCTAAGGGTCATCCCCCTTAAAGACGCAACTTATGCAGTTGAGAAATTTATCTTTTATTTCAGTGTTAAAAAAAGTATTTATTATATAAACACCAATGAAATACCAGGTGAGCTTTTGCGCGAAAACATTATATCTTCACACGTGAAAATAACATGTTATTTTCACATGTGAAAATATCCCCGTTGCTATGGCTACATAATAAATCGCGCCTTTCGCAGGAAAAAACTGTTTCAGTGAAATCGTTTGGTATTTCATTGGTGTCGCTGCGCTCACTCGTGAAATATTTTTCAACGCTCGAAGAGAAATTTCGTATCTCCAAGCGGCCTTGTAATATCCTCTATGTATATATTTTTTTTCAGTTGCGAGGCTCAAATCCACTAAGCTTGGTATCAAGCTTGAGGGAGGAAAAGGGCATAACTTTATACATGGCGATCCTGGAATATTTGTGTCGCGCGTCAGACCTGGTAGTTTAGCAGATGGCAGACTGTACCCTGGCGATAGAATAGTAGCGGTATGCATCATAGCATTATCCAGTTATCACGCAAACCTCCTGATACAGTCAACGCTCGCTCTGCAGACACACCGCTATAACGGACACCCCGATAGTACGGACAGCGGCTAAATTCCAGGCAAAAATACTGAAGAGAATTGCAAGCGTTTGACTGAAACAAACTTCCGCTATTTCGGACACCCGCTAGCTTGGGGTTCTTACCGGGTCAGTTATAAAAGGAGTTGGCTGTAAATTGATTAGATCGGCTACCATCCGTTGGTCATTTCTCAGCCTTGTTTTCTACCCGTTAAAAGATAATGCTTAGGCATTTTACTCTGAGGGACAATAAGTGACGTAAACAATTTATAAATGTTTAGAATGACGTAACATAATTGACACAAGCGACTTGGGATAGAGAAATGCGAGTTCTCCCGATAAGAATTGAACTTATTTCATCAGTGGCGTCCTGTTCGTCAAACGATGGACAGCACTTTGCAATATGCACCGGGAAAACAATTCAGCGCTATCCAGTGGCCATGGATAATGATTTATTTTATCGAGTGGATATCCAACTTTTGAACAACTGGGGCCTCGAAATTAGTTTAGATTCTCTACCCTGCGCAAAAAGAGGATCCAAAATAGGGTCCTTTAATCCCGTAATCCCGACCCAAAACTTCGGGCAAATCCCGTAATCCCGAGGGTTCTTTTTGCATGCCACCTGCCTCGCGTACCGTCAATCCCGAATCTTGCCCCTATTTTGCTTTAAAATCCTGAATCTCGAGCTTCCCGTATCCCGAAAATCCTATTGAGGTCCCTCCAAAAAGAGACTCGTAGAGGCTGAAACTGTTAACTTCAGCTTCATTCTCTTATCCTGCTTCTAATTTTGTCAATTTCTACAGATAAACAATTTTCACATGGGTATGGTTACCCTCAAGTACGCTAAAGAAGTGATGCAAGCTGTTAGTCAGGCAGAGGGACGTCTGATGTTTTCCATCTTGAGAGCCCCAGTCAGGGAGGTACGTACTACTAGTCACATGATTGGCTCTCGCCCAATAAAAATCGTTTCGCTGGTAGATAAACGATTCTCATTGGCCGAGACCCCCCTTCAAATAACTGCCTGCGAATGTTACTCTGCTCATGCGTAGATGTATACTTTCTCCTCGGTCATAATGGCAGACGAACATGGACTTGACTGGTCAACCCGCCATGCGATCGTACTACTCTGGTATCCAATGCTCCGAAAAAGCCGCTGAAGGCAATAACTGTGGAGAAAAATCTAGCTGTATAGCAATGAAATATATTTTTCTAAATTACAAGGGACGATTCGCAACGACGATTTTTGGCGCAACTCAGGGTTCAAATGTTGGAACAATATCGCAGCCATTCGAAACAATGTAACAACAATGTTGTAACGCTGTGTTGTGCTAAAAATCGTAGTTACGAATTGTCCGGTGTAGCATCACCTTGAGGATTCATAAAAATATGCTCCTTTACTCAAGTCCAACTTTATGTAGATGTCTTCTCCATTTTAGCGCAAAGTAAGCGAAGCCTTTTCATTGTACTGTGACGATGAAAATACTGGCAAGCATGAGGTGGTTTTCACTAAAAACCATTTAGAAGGTGAGTGTGATTATAGGCTTTGTCCTTTCCGGTCAAGGGGGGTGGGAAAGGTCATTTTTATTCCTGTGGATACTGAACAAAATTAAGGTACCCCTTTCGTGTGTACCTTTTATTGAAAAATCATGGTACCCCTTTCAAATATTAGAGAGCTTTAGATCTGAGTACGAGAACCAACTTACAGTTTTTGCGCGTCTTCTCAAAAAAAAGGCAGCCCGGAAAGCTTCACTTTATTTTTTTTTTTCACTAAAAAAGTTAGTTCGGTTAGTTATGCTCAAGGAGTTTAAGCCCTCTCCCGATAGCAAGATGATAAAACTTCTTACATTTGATATCTTGTTCCCGCCACTACCACATTCTCGCTAAAACTCGTCGTAGAATGACGACGGCCATCACGTTTTCCCGCCAAAGTGACGCTGACTCACGCGTGAGCAATTCTCAGTATTGAGAAAATCTCGAATTCGCGAGAGTCGTCCTCGTCTCAGAATCTAAAGCTCTCTATTAGTTTACGACGCTATATCACATTCAACTGCTGTTATTATAATTCAAAATATTTACCCGATTCTGATTGGCTCTGAGCACACGCATAATTTACCATAACCAGCTACTGATGACCAAATTTGGAAGAATTTTGCAATTAATCAACCGATGACGTCAAAAGTGCAGCTTCCCTGCAGGTTGATGCACCGTTAACCGGGAAGACTTGGGGACAAGGTTGAGTTGTTTTGGTTGTGAAACAAAACTGGCGGACATTTGACTCGTTTCAAGAGTAAGAACTAGGCGAAATAATAGCTAAAAACATGGTAAGAACAGCAAGAAGACAACTCGGAGCGCGACATCTGCTATTTGGAGAATATTTGCGGAGCTGAACGACCCCAAACGTGAACTATCGAAGATGAACTTAACATCGATGGAGGTAAGCATGTTTTAGCTATGTTTTTAAACTAGGAATTATTTTGAATGAATAATAAAACAATTATTGAATTCGGCGTTCGTATCATATGAAGAATTATGGAGATCTCGAAGGGTGTTATCCGCCTCGGCCCTTCCTCGATCTCCATAATTCTTCATAAGGTACTCAGCCTCATTCATTAATTGTTAATTAATGCACCGTCTTCAAAACATGAATAAATCGTCTAAATCAGTCAACCAGAAAGTTTTCTTGTCTTTTTCATAGCATTCAAATGAACCTGTTAGCCCTTTTAGTTCATTTCACAAACCGCAAAGACAGATGACCGATTTCCCAATCCTTTCATATACTTCAACCAGTTACATCCCTACTCTTTCATATACCTAAGCCTGAAAAAGGTACCCCTCTTGGGCGGAGACTCCCCCTATACGCCATTATAGGGAGGAAATCCCCCCTCCGGTGTCTTATTTTAGTCTGCCAAGTAGCCCTCAACTGTTCGGCTGTGTGTCGCGTGGTGATGACGCTCCTTGCATACGGACGGAAAGTCGATTTCACCAACAGCAGTTAAGCAGCAGCTGGCAGCGCAGGAGATTAGTTTATAAGTTATGGAACAAAATAACCTTGACCTCCTAACCATGGTAAAAAGTAAAGGTCTTACTTAAATTACTGGTACACTTTTGTGTAGTGGCAAAAGTTTTAGACCCTGCGATCATTGACTTGGTGAGTCAGTCGCTAAGCAAATACGTGTGTGCTAAAAAAAGTACTAAAATTACGAATAACAAGTGCCTAAACCTTAGTATACTTCAGTCAAGATTACCGGTGAACAATATTAATTTTTTTAGAATGTTCATCATGTTGTGGTCAATTACTTGTTTTACTTTTCTAATTACTTCCTCAGTTAAAACGTCCTCTCATAGTAAAATCAGCGCTATTAGCTTTGATCTACAATAAGAAATTGATCGGATCATGAAATGAGAAAAATTTACTGTACCCTTATCCAGGCTCCTGGAAAAATACAATTAAAGTTTTTATCACTCGTATGATTATATTACAGACCGAATTGGACTCCACTCAGTCCTGTTACCATTACATATTGTACTTCTTCTCCTCTAGTGTTCGAAGAAGCGTTCTCCATATACGACCACCAAGGAACTGGCAAGATACCAATGTCAAGCTTCTTTCCGCTACTCCGAAGCTTGGGCTACAACATTCACAAAGAAGAGGCCTTCAGATATATGAACGAACTTGATTTAGCAGGTATATATCATATATCGACAAGCGACAGCAAAAATACATTGGCTAAGTTCCAGGTTTTACTACCCTGGGTGCCAGAGAATTTTCTAGCGCGGTTTCTGGTTTCCGCTCGTGGCCTCGGCCTTCGGCCGACACCGAAAATTCCCGCCGCACGCGAGAAAAACCTGTGGTACCCAGGGTAAGGTTTTAGCTCAACTGCTGAACAAAAGGAACTAGGCCAGAGTATATAAAGGTTACTTCGAACGATTCAATCAGTTGTATTTATTAGTTTCATGATCGCGTTTTAATAGGCCATTTCCGAGTTCCAAAAACTCTCAATCTGAAAACGAGGCTAAGTGCAAACCTTTCTTGTGAGATGAGTTTCATTTACATGAGAATAAATATGTTTAGTAAATCCAGCTAGTGGTCTATTATCAATGCTGCGTTCTGATTGGTTGAGCTACTACTAGGCTATATGTTATAGCCCACTAGTAACGAAAAGCGCGGGGGGCTTTTTGGCGGCAAAAAAGGATTAAAGTCTAGCTTTAACTGGCTAAAAGTTTTTTATTCTGGATATTTTTGACCAACTAGTTGGATTTTACTAAAACAATTATTCCTCGAGCCCGAATGGGCTCTGAGTCAATAGCCCATTCGGCCTTCGGCCTCACAGGCTATTGACTCAGAGCCCATTCGGGCTCGAGGAATAATTGTTAAATATTTTCATCTCAATGATTTCGCGCTTCGCCTCACTTTGAAACAAAGGCTTTGGGCAACTCGGAGATGGAATATTCTTAATTTAAAATTTTCTGAAGAATACAAAATGTTTGCAAAATTACGACTTTCTGAGCTATTTCTCTTTTTTTGATCCTCTTAGATAAACAAAAGATCACCTTTAACGAACTGATTAAGTTCCTTGAGCACATTGTGGCGGAGCAAACGTCAAAGTCTGAAGTACGCTGCGTTTATAACGTCTTTGACCCCGAGAAGAAAGGTCAAGTGCCGGTAATCGAGTTGTTTGAAGCACTAGAAAGGATGTATGGACATAATATCACTGTGGACGAAATAGAAACGATTCTTTCTATGGGAGATCGAGACAAAGATGGCTGTCTTAACGAAGAAGGTAACTATTGGAAATTTCAATATCGTTATGATTGTTCACGCTGGCAGCCATTCACCTTTGGCGAAGACGCAAAACTACCTCCATTTTTAACTAAAATTTGTTGGTTTAGGAATTGAAGAGTTGAATTTTCTAAAGTCAAATACGGATTTCCGAATGAAACGGAAGTCCAAGCGAAGGATTTTGACAAACAGAAGTACTTCTGTGACATGGTTTTAAATAAACAGATCCTGACCAAAAAAGGACAAAGATAATCCAATGCCATATATCATAAAAAAATAAAACTACCACATAATATACAAAAACATTTCAATTATAAATTTTTTGTTCTTTCCCAGATTTTGAAAGGCTACTTCTTCCGTCGCTGATACTTTACTAGAGATTTAAAAGATGCAAGATGGTTACCATGGCTACTAGAATGTCCCCATCCAATGGGCGTGTACATACATCCGGGTGCCACTGCTTATCTTATCAATGTATCGTGCAGTTGAGACGGCATAGCGTAAACTTGTTCTATCTTTCTGGATTCTGAGTCCATGGCAACTAAACGTCCTCTAATTTGCAAACTTTCAGTTTACTATAAGACAAGTGCAAGGAAAATCCTAATTTGAAACTTTAACAGCTGTGTGTTGAATAAGTACTTATCTTAGCTAAAATTAACGTTTCGCAAATATTTTGAGCCGATGACTTAAAGGAGCCAAGTGGTAATCGATTGTATCGAGCCCTCAACTATTTTCGGTCAATATTAGACTGCGAGCACTCTCATTTTTCGCGCGTTGTCATTTGCGTGTCTCGCGCGTGTCGCTCGACGGACTAAAAAAGAGAGACTACATCGGTCAATAGAAATTAGACACTAGGGGAGAAATATTACAGCCGGATACAATAGTTTGTTCATAGACATGATTTGTTTAAAGATACGATTTCCTGTATTGAATTCTCTACGGTAATTTCAGCATCGAGCTTCGCGGATATTCAAATGTCGTGAAAACGCCCACCTACCTTGCAACCACTGACATGCTAATTCTCTGAAGAAGAGTTCTAACTCTACTAAAATTTTGCCTGATTATGATCAGCGTTTTGAAACTGATCCAGTCAACCCACTCATTTTTATTGGAGAGACAAACAACTGCAGTCACTTTTCCTGAGAAATGCAGAAATAATGAGAGATCTCTTGTGTTGTGAAAAGCTGGCGAAAATTGTCAACGCAGTCACCTTGCAACGAAAAAAATTAAATTGGAAAATATCTCAATAGTGTTTGATTAAAACTGAAAAAGACTGCCAGCAGTGAGATTCAAATAACAATAGTCTGAATGGAAATAATTCAAATAAGGAATATAACGCAGGCAAGTGGTTTTCAACTATTACTGAAAGCAACCACAAGCAAAAGACAATTTATTTACAACTTAGGAGTTCAAGTTTGCAATATGATATTTAATGGCAATGTTGCTCAAAATGTTGATAAGTCGATAATAAAACATTTATGCTTGCTAGAGCAATTTTGTTTGGAGTTCTCTAAACAAGCTATTACGTAATATTTTTTAAGTACAAGGCATAACTGCAACATATGATGCCCACGAATTAGGAAAAATGATACTGCGAAATATAAGTGAATAAAAAAATATGCTTTAACTGCCACAGATAGTGTTGCCGGTCAGCGATCAGTCTAGTATATATAGAGTTCTCAGCAGTTTGTGGAACAGCCCAGATAAAGAAATCGAACTAAGTATCAGTCACAGGGATTTTCAACAAAAACGAAGGCAAATATTGTTACTATACAGAGTAAAATTTCTTGATCCAGCGAGAGTTTTGTAGGTTTTAACATTTTATTCATAGTAGGAATTTTAAACGGAAACTTACTAGGTTTTTTTACTTTTTTTCTAGTATATATTATATATTTTAAAATTTTATAATGCATTATAGCTTTGTCTTGTATCAGTGCAAAGCCCCTCAGGGGACGTGAACAATAAACTTCTTAACTCTTAACTCTTTAGTTACATCACTCAAAAATAAATTTTGAATAAAGAAGCCCCCAAGTGGGAAGTAGGTTGGAGATCGCTGATGCACCATCAGCCTTTCGAAGGCCCCATCTGTTTCTTTGTTTGTTTGTTTGTTTCCTTTTTTGTGCACTCATTCACGGTAAGAAATTCTACGCCAGGGTTTTTAATCTACAAGACATGGATGATAAGGAAAGATTTTGTAAAGCATTTACGGGAGAAAAAGGACAACGTGTCAGCGACGCATGCCACCATTATCAAACGCAAATGAACAAAGACTAGAGATGGTGTGATAGAAAAAGAAACCGTGTGAAATGATAACTCAAAAAATTGTGAAAACAAAAGAATAAAATGACTAATAAGGGAATTAATAGTAAATGGCAAAGAATAATTCGCATGCAGTTTTTAAGGACTCGCTGGCTCTAAGATTCCCGAGTTCTTGTTTTCTTTTAACTCCTGATCCTTTCATGAAGCTGACAAGAAAAACGTATTATGTAGCCATGTGACAGTTATTTTTTCGATTGTGTAACTATTTTAGCCCGCTGGTAGGCGTTTGTAAGTTTAAATATACTCTGGATCGTTGTCCTTTGGTAAATAGATACTTCTTTTGGGCCACAATCCCACCTTTTAGAGCTAATAAAAAATTGATATACTCTTCTACCCATACCGTGCATTTAGCGAGGTCCCTTTAGCAGCTTTGGTCAGCTTTAATTTACATCAGGAGGCATAATAGGTCCCATTATGGCTCATGTTTACATATAGAAACTGCTAGCTCTTTTTCTTGTCACTTTAAAGGCAGCAAACACAATTAGGGAAACTGAAACAGTCGTGGTTGACTCACTCTGCCGCTAGATTTATTGTCAGTATTCAGGCTGCAAGTTGTGTCCAGTTGCTAAACAAAACTGGACTATCAAATTCTTATTCATATCAAAAAAACAATTTTTATGACACTAAGTTTTGCTTTCCTCGTCCATCCTTTATTGTCATCTTCACAAAATTGCTGCAAGTTTCAATGTGAATGTTTGTTAGTGTCTATCGTCGAAGATGGATGATGTGTCACCTGTCCACTCGGGTCGTGCTAAGGAGTGAATTTAGTTATTGAATTAGCAAGAGTCTTAGTTTGACCTATGAGGCTTTTAAAGTGATTGTTTACTGCAGTAAAATAAGGAACTTTGAGTCAATTTACTCTCCCGCACCGTCTAGTGAAAGGATGAGTATTTTAATAAGGCAAACGTTTCTCTTGTTCGAACTAAATAGTCGAAGGACCGCCGAATCTGTGTTTACGTGATAACTCCTTTTATGCACTCCAGAGTGCATCCGACAGAAGACTGGAAAATAGAGTAACTTTTTCTCTGGTTAATATGCTGTCTTGCTGACGCTCAACACAATAATTTTTGTTTTGGTTCAGACTGATTTCATTTTTCAAGAAAACATGTCTAGGAGAAACTGTATTTAATAAGTGAGTTTATAAACATGCATGAAGGACGCCCACTGACGTCATTAACAGAAAAACGCCGCTCGAATTTAAAAGACAAATAACAGTTATTTGTTATTTTAGATGTTCTTCAACTTTACTCAGGCAAACAACAATTGAATAATGATTCAGAGACAGACATCCTGAACCGTCCTACGACAGCCTTCTGTTTTTTGGGGTCTTAATGTATATAAATCAGATAGCATTTGTGTCCTCCCTATCCGTTAATTTAATACTTCTTTGATGTTTACCGCGGCGTTAATCATTTCTCACAGCCCTTCACTAAAATTCTTTTTACCAACTAAAGTAATTGTTTTTTTTAATAATCGTTGTTTTTTTTTTTTTTTTGCCACAAGCCAATCCGCAAACTAGTCTAATCCACCTGGCAACTAAATATAGATTTAAAACGACTATTTATATTGTCAAATTCAATGCAACTGAATAGAATATTTACCCGGCCAGTTTTAGGGAAACACGAAAACGCCGTCAAAAATTCTTATTGATGTTCTAGATGTATATATGCTGCTTTTATTAGGCATGCATTCACACAATCAAATAGGAGTTAAAATTTCACTGCAGTGTATTTAAAGGTGCCGTACGGGCTGTCAAACAGGTGCTATAACTTTTAGATAGATAATTGCGAACACATTGTTACATAACCGCTAGTTTGCTTGCAGCTTTTACAACAGTCGTTGTGAGTCAACAAATCTGCTTAGAAGACCAGTAGCGCGTTTTCTAGTGACCAGCTACGCTTCGCGCTGTTTCCCCGCCGAGTTTCCGACAAACGTCTCATAAATCAGCCGCTGCAGGATGGCTTCTAGAGCAAAATGACCTCAAAGGTAAAATTTTTATACTTTTTTGGACCCATGTGTTGTTCTTTATGTCCCGAGATCCTTTTTTTGGAATAAGCAAATTGGTCTATAAAAACAGTCTAGCTAGCTGTAATATTTAGATCCCGCATAGCTACAGAGGCCCTGGTCCTGAAGAAGATTAAGAAGTCAGAGCTTTTTTTTCGCTCAGGCCCAAATGTCAATGTTGCGTTAGCAAAAATAACTTAATTGATCTCTTATGCCTACCTAGAAAAAATATGAACTGAAGTTGTTTTAATTTTACTCAAGTTAAAGAAGCCAAGACAAAGGTGATTCGTCCGAGGATAAGATCATCTTGGAAACGAAAAATGATCGATCGTGCGGATAAGATTAGACTTATCTTTACCAAGAGGGAACCTGCTCAGCCAGTCTTTAGGTTCGTCGGGATCTCAATAGAAAGGACAGGAGACTTTTTAATTTTTTCCGCCTTTAACTTTCCTCGTCTTATGAAACAAGTTTGCTAAAAATTGTTGTTGGTTTTTAATTAACGTGCATGTAAAGACAACCAAAAAACGTACATCTATTCACATTGTTATGACTCAATAACATTTTGATGGTGCTGCAAATAAAATTTTCTTGTCAAATGCATTATTACTGTATTGCGTTTTTCAGTACCACGGAAATTTAACCTTAGGGCGCCGTCATTAAGAAGAAAATAAACAACTTGTATTAAAATAGTCATAATATTGCTCCCATCAAGTTTGTTGGAAACAGTTTATCGTTTATTTTTGAATGCTCATTATCATTTTTTTTTGTTTGAAGGCGACGAAATTAATCTCGCTGCATAGAGTAAAGTAATGACCCTGTTTGCATAATTCAAATGGTCGTTTAGAAACCGCAATAACCACATTCGTCTTTTTTCTTTGGTAGGCAATCACTGAAATGAGTTTCTTGAAAATTAGAGCAGTGCGGCTTTGTTGTAAAGAGTGTTTCCAAGAAAACAGCCGAGAAGCAAAACAAAAACCGGAGCTTGGTGATCTTCACTCGGAAGACATTTCTGGTCCGATAGACGACAGCCATGATGGGAAGACCGAAGAAGAAAACACGAAGCTGGAAAGGAATGATAAGATATTAAACGGAGAAAATTTATGGCGAATGCCACGGCAAGAAATTTTGCAAGCCAGTCACAAATCCACGACGAACCTATCAGCGGGTTTGAACTCATTTCCCAAACTAATACCATTAAATGGCGAGGATCTTCCAATGAGAGCTGATAACATGGAGAATGGAACGTGGGTCGACGGAAAGCGTTCAAATTCAGCTCCGGGATTTTCGTACGCGCAAGCGAGAGTAAGGAAACACAAGATTCGGCTTCCGAACATTTCTGATTGGCAAACTCCGTCAATCCCAGGAAACCAAACAATTAAAGGTATGGTTGTCAAAGGAGAAAAGCTTCGATCAGCTGGGGAAGTATTTTCCTCTCCAGATTCAAAGGTCAGCGACAAAAGTTCCCCAAACAACGAGTCAAAGTTTACTGGCAAAAATTCAAAAAGTAGTTGCGCTGAGAAATTAAGCATCGCAAAGGGTGAAGTCAAAGGTGCCAAGAGTTGCCATGGAGACACAGGTGAAGGTGCCTTTCCCTTCATCCGGCGAAGTGATTTTCGCGTAAAAACCGCTTATGCCAGCTCGAGTAGAATGTTTAACAAATATTTAGAATCAAGATTTGGAAAAAGTGTTTATCAAGCCATCGACAGGAAGATATATAATGGCCAGGGCAAAAAATTCCATGTCTATTGGGCGCCAGTGTTGACTAACAGACAGATGTTGTATGATCGTAATGAAGATGCCACGAAAAATTCTCAAGAAAACCTCGGCGACGCATCCTTAACTAAAGAGAGACATGTTCGCTTTTGATAGATGTTCAAGAGCTGCTAGTGACGGCCTCACTATTGAATCATAACGACAGAACCAGACAAATTGGGACAGCTTTTGTGGGAACTGCAGTCAGCTGAGACCTTTCTCAAAAGACAAGGAAATCTTGAGTTTTTAGGAGCTCTTTACTAGTGACTTGTCGTTTCTTCGATTTATAACGTTAAAACCTTAGAAGATATCTAAAATAGGAGCAACCTTAAGCTAAGCTCAGTCTACTTTTTTTTTTCATCCGTCGAGAAAAACGGACAGGAATAAAAACAAAATAGCTACTCTACTTTCTTTTTTGATAATAGATAAATAGGAGACCGTTCCAAGTCCATGGAATACCCAACAGGTGGTGAAAAGAGGTCTCGCCGTCTCTTCAGTTGAGAGAGTTTATGAAATAACTTTTAAACAATACCTACCAAACAAATATTAAAAGAGAGTTCTACTATAATATAGACAATCCAAAGGATTATATATCTGAAATTTTTTTTCGTTTATGGCGCAGGCCATATCATAAATGATTTTCCCCGCCTTGTGGCTTACCATTTAAGAGGGGAGCGTAAGGGGAGGTACTAATACCCAAACCGCACAGAATAACATAAGAAAACCGCAATGAAATTACCAAAAATTTTCTAAATACCGCAAACCGTTTGGTTTTGTAAAACCGCAATACTGTAACTTTAAAAAAAATTCCGCAAAACCGCACCGAAAATCGAGCAAAACGGCATCACTGCCAACCCTTACGTCCCTCTCATTTAAGGTTATTTCAGTATTCAATCTTTTGACTTTGATAACTTTTGAATCATCTTTAGCGCTCTTTAGACTTACTAGATTGAATTCCGACATAAAGAGGGTTCCAAAATTGCTGCGACGTTGGCTTCGTTACATCAAC